GAATAAAGTCTAGCCTTTTGCTAGGAGGGAGCGTTGAGGTAGATGGTTTTGGGCCATACCAGGTATGACCTGGGTTGTCTGGGTTTAAAGTTATGAATATATCTGTCATGCTTTGGGATTCAATGAAGGAGGAAAGTATCAACGCATTTCGCCTGATTGGTGTTGGGGAGGGGGAGTCAAGTCCGGGGTTCATAGTGGTGTTCCAACCCCCCGCTATAATCAGATTTTCGACAACCGGGATGCATGCAAGGAGTGAGGCTATAATCAAATTTTCGACGTAGGGGGCGTATACCGTCATAATTGCCCAATCTTCATCCTTCACCGCGAGTTTAACCCATATCCATCTCCCCTCCGGGTCTTGATATGAGTCTACGACGGCTACTTCCAAATCTTTATGGATGAGGATTGTTGTCCCTCCTTTCGAACCCACTGTTGGAGCCCAGAACTGAGGGTCATTCCACCATCTATGGACTCCGACAATTTTTTATGTGTTAAGCTTAGTTTCCTGTATGCAGATGATCTGTATGTCATGCTTGTGAACCCATGACAGAAGTCTGGACTTTTTGTGGCGGGCGGATGTGTTACCCAACCCTCTGAGATTCCAGCACGCGATCCTTATCCTATTTGGCAGGACCATCAGTGTGGTCACTGCCACCTGGGGGTTGGATGCAGGTACTGGGCTCAACCAAGGTACGTTATGTGTGCAGTTTTGACATGTTTGGATCAATAATGAAAAAGTTGGCATTTTGTTGAATTCGTTGAACACTTCATTTTGACTCGGACAGTGTCTTTGTGTTAAGGTTTCATAGTGTTTTTTTGTTTTTTTTTTCCATTTTTTTTAGCCTGTTTCCTTTTTTGATGTTTGCACGATGGTCTCATATCGTTTGTTTTTAAAATTTTTGATGAAATTTGTACCGCAATTGCCACCGAAAACGGCGAATATTTGGGCCCCCGTTAACCGTCTCTCGACCTTCATTTCGGAGTTAGTCATCCATTCTAACAGCATGGATGCAGGGATATTTGGTAGGAACAGTAGTTTGTTTTCAACGCTTGAGTGCGGGGACAGAAAGGGGTTTAACTTCAACCAGGAGAGCACATGGGGGTTAGATTAAACCGTTTCCTCTTTCAGGGAGGACAAAATTACGACAGCAAAGTGCATGAGTGTTGAGCCTTCCTCTCCGAAGTCAACCACATGCCGACCCATCTTCAGAGTGGGCATGGGATAACCTCCCCCCAGTCCTTCAGAATAGTGTTGTTCGTCATGTCAACTACCTATGCCTCTGTTGGTTGGGACTGGACTAGGGTGGAAGGTATTACGCACGCATTGTCCTTCTGCCTCATTAGGAGAACTGTTGTCTCAGATTGGAAAGAGCCACAAATCAGTGGGACAACGTAGCCCCTAAGTGATCTTCTTGCTCCTGCTGGAAACCGTTTTGATTGGTTGAGCGAAGCCAATTGCCATTTTTTTTGTTTTTTGGTTCAACGATCTTTTCCTCTTATCAGTAGGGGAGTTTTCCTCACTGGTGTCTGAGGCGCTGTGTGAATGAGGAATGACCAAACTGTTATTGGCTTTAAGCTTCTTCCTCGCACCCCATGCTATCGTATAGATTGCAGGATCGGGTGTGGCGACCATCTTGATCTTTCCTGTTTCCTTCTTACTCCCCTTTTTTTTCTTTTTGGGGGATTGAACGTTGGCCACCCTGGTGGATTTAACCTCCAAGTTCATCGGTTTGTCCTAATCGATCTGTGTCATTTTTAACTCAGTGTTCTGCTCCCCCTGATTAGTTTGATCGCTATGTATTTTCTGTTCCTCTTCCAAATTGGGTGAGGACACAGGGGGGTTGGCCGGGGTGAAACCCATGAGAACCTCGTCCATTTTGTCAATTATCTCGCTGAATTTCTCCAATTGGACGGGGGGTGGGGGGGGTGGGAGGGGTGGGGTTGGTTTTGAGTGGGGGGAGGTTCCGTCGGGTGTGAGGGATATGTCCATGTCCAGCCTTGGCTCCCCGTTGGTGGGGCTTTCTCTGTTTCTTCAGATGGTGTATCTTTTTTTTCTCTCGCCGGGTCTTTTCTCTCCTCCCCTTCCCCTTCTGTCTCTCTCCATTCCTTTGTTTTCATGGTGGCTGATGAGGAGGATGTGGATGGTTTTGTCCTCGGAGAACTGACTGGGATCTTCACTTTCCAAGATAGAGGTTTTTTGCCCTTGTCTCTTTTGAGCTTTATCCTCCTCGATTTGTTTCTTTCCCACGAGTGGTCCCTGTCGTTTTGAGTTGTATGTTCGCCCTCCTTATCTGTTTTGCGGGTCTCAATCTGCTTTGAGGTTTTGTTTAAACCTTCCTCCTCTTCGTTTGGCCCATTGGGCTCTTTCCTAGGTTTGTCCGAGAAAGAGGGTTTCTGGGGGTCTGTCGGTTGGTCAGTCCTTCGAGTGGCGTTCTCTGAGCTTAAGACCGCTTCTTTAAAGGATTTCTTCCTGGAGGACGATCTCATATTAATAGGACAAGCCTCGTCATCCTCGGCGTGGAAATATTTCCGACATTTTTTGCACCATGCCGAGTCGGCACAAGCAACATTGAGATCAACCCATCCATCCTCAAACATATCAATGATCAAGTGTTGCTTGTACGAGAGTCTAGCTGTTGCTTCCATGTCAAATCTGACATTCCAGAGATCTGTTGTTATCGGATCCGTAAAGGCATCATGAGTCGTAAGGATCTTACCAAATGCCTTATGGACTGCTCCTTTTAGATGGGAAAGGACTGAGATGGGCACCTGGATTGCCTTGATCCAGAAGTATTGGAATTCCTGAGCCTCATTCCATTCAAAGAGTTCATTCTCATTCATCCAAGGCCTGAAACGGATGGTGTACTTTTTGCCATCGAGTTCGATGTTATCTGTCCCTTTTAATTTAAACTACTCCGCAATTTTGTTATAACTGGCCACGTACGTGACTAGGTTCTTCCCATCACACTAGAAAATCCCACGTTTCGGAGGTACATTCATGTCTGTTGCGAGGGACCATCCGTCGTTGACGACCACACGCACGAAATTCTGGCCAGCCTCTGCTATGGTTGGGGCGAATTCCTCTGGGAGTATGCCATTTGCATAGAAGTCCTCAATGATCCCCCTGATTCTTTTCTTTTCACCCTCTGATCGGGGGGGATCATTCTGAGTATGTGGCGAAGCCATTGAGGTCTGGCTAAGAGCGGATCAAGTAACTGACGTGGCCAGGTCGTAAATTCATTGAATCTTCCTTACCTTTTCGCCAGCTTGCCTTGAGAAAAATAGCGGATCTGGGATTCCTTGTGACTTACCTTCGCCGGAGAGGTGGTCGACTCACTTCCCTGTTACGGATCAACGAAACTGGGAATCCTCGTTATACCAATTAATAACCTGTCTTCCCGACAAAGGTGAGTTATAACGTGGTGTAATTGTTGTAGGTTGGCTCTCCTCGCTGGGTTGGTTTTCCTGCTTGGAGTATTGAACTGGTCCCCTATCGGAGGAATAGAGCTTGCTATTCAATTCTGTCTCTTTTGAGTCGTAACAGTCTTTGGGAGAATAGCGTGTGGAACAATTGTTTTTCCTTGATTGCGGTAGCGCATAGGGAGGGGATCTTGATTACCCTGCACATGTAGCTATTGTATCCACCTCTCTCGTGGTTTGTTACAAATTACACAGAGAGCAAAATCCATCAATAGCTCGAGGGAGATAGAATGGAGCGTTGGAGGATCACCTCTACATCGTCTGAAATGTGGAGCTGATGGACTGCAGTCTATGTTTCCTTGTCTTCCTTGAGGCCAGTGTCGTACTCTTCTGTCGAAGCGGTCCAGACGAAGGTGAGATAAATCGTGCGGAATTTGCTGTTGGTTGGCACTCTACGCTGAAATGGATAGCTTGTAGCATCGAAACGGACCTCGCTCGTAACTTCGGAGAAGGGGAATTGCTCAACTACTCTGTCTCTATTGAGTCGCATTCAGCATATGGGGGAAGCAGCAAGTGGAGCATCAGTATTTCCTTTGTCACGGTGGAAAGTAGGGAGTGGTTCCTATCTTTCACCTGGAAAGCAGGGAGTGGTTCCTTTGTACAGATAGAGAGCACTCTCCTTCATAAGTTCGAGGGGAAAGGGATGGAGCATTGGAAGATTACCTCACTTTCGTCCGAGAAAAGGGGTGACTATCTGCAGTCTGCACTCCCTTGCCCTCCCTGAGGGCCTGTGTCGTAACTCCTCTGTCGTAGCGGATTACTGTCCTTCGGCTAGCACCTCGGCTGAGCCTACCAGGTGATGTAACTGAAGAGGATATGCCCTTACCGAGTGATGGAGGGAAGAAGTTTCGATAGCTGTGTGGGGAACGCGTAGTGACACAGAGGTGAAACCCTGCGTCCCCGTACGTGGGCTAGAAGGTACCGAGTGAAGTAGGTACCGAGTGAAGTTACCGTTCGGGAATTGCGCCGCCGGTGAACATTAGCGCAGGTGAAGAATTAGCGCAGGTGAAGAATTAGCGCAGGTGAATGTACCGAGTGAAGTTACCGTTCGGGAATTGCGCCGCCGTTGAAAATTAGCGCCCGTGAATTAGCGCAGGTGAAGAATTAGCGCAGGTGAAACATTAGCGCAGCGCTACCGGGCCCCTTCCCCGCCAGCCCCCCACCCCCTTGCACACTCCTTTCAGCCTGCTCGTCTATACGTTTCCGGATTCGAACTTGGGTCTATACGCCTCACCCCGCCTTCACTGCCGCCGGATTCGCGGTCCCACTGCGGGCTGCGGCCCCGCGTCCTAGCGGTATGTCAGTTATGTTGTTCCGTTCATCTGATTGGATGGGGACTCGAGCTTCGGCACAGTTCAAGGGTGTTGCAACTGAGCTACCGGTAGGTAGGCCCGTTCGTCGAATGTCGAAGAGTCGACGTTCGTCTCGGGGTCGAGTCCATTGCAATCGCTTCGACCTCCAGTCCGTCACAACAGTACGCTCGCAACGTAGCGTTGTCGAAGATTGACGAGGGGCGATGCTGGCTTGGTGAGGATCGTTGCATCACTCGATGTCGTATTGAAGTCGAGGTTAGGTTCTTCTGCTCCATCTGCTCAGGTATGTATAGGGTTCAGCCTCCTGATGAGTCGGGGAAACGCGGACGAAACAGATTGTCACAGCCGCTCGTTTGTTGTCCTCTTCTTCCTCCCTCTCTGCCGACGGTTTACCGGGCAGCTCTGTTTGACCATATATATTGAGTCGGTGAAACTCCGACGAAACAGTTTGTCACAGCCCCTCGTTTGTTGTCCTCTTCTCTTCTCCCCCTCTGCCTACGGTTTACCGGGCAGCTCTGTTTGACGATATATGTACGCAAGAGGTTCTGAACAGGGGGAGTTGTAAGAAAGAAGATTAAAAAACGAAATATATTTTTCTAGTTTTCTTCTGTTTTTTTCGCCTTTGCGCTCTGATATTCATGTGACGATATATATTGTCACAAAAATATCAGAGCGCAAATGCGAAAAAAAGAAAAAAAGGAAAAAAAGAAAGAAAAAACAGGAAAAAATGAATTCAGTTTATTATCTTCTTCCTTATAACTCCCCCTGTGCAGAACCTCTTGCGTACAAGGCCGCCCACGTGGATGTAGGTTGAGCGGCGGCTGCCCCCATCCCCGTGTGTCATATCGACCCACTTGCACACAGCCAGAAGGCAAAGAGGCAAAGAAAAGAGGAAGGGAACAGCCAAATAAAACAGACAGAACAGGGGGCAACAAAACAGATCCCAGATGACAAGTCCCACATGCAAGCACCGCCCCAACACACACAGGCCAAACGACGGGACAAGACCAACCAGGATGTCAAAACATTCTTGTCTGCAAAGAAAAAAAAACAAACCCGGAGAACCTGTATAGAATACATACAATCGCGGATGACGATTCCCACATACAAGCACCGCCCCGCGTTTCAAAAGGCCGAACAATGGGAAACAACCAACCAGGATGCCAAGACAATAAAAAGACACCCGGATGACTGATCCCACATAAAGCACCGCTACCTGCTTAGACCGAATAAGGGACAAAACCAACCGGGATGCAGACAAGATTACCACAACAAGTCTACCATATCCATAGTAAAAAAAAAAAAGAAGGGAACCATACATACAGTAGGCCCGCAAAACGAAACACCCCAGCAACGGGGAAGAATAAGCAACACAAGAAAATGTGGGATGATAGGACGACGATGATTCAGGCTATTTTCGACGCAAATGAATTCTTACGTGCATTGTCAAGAAAATCGAGAATGCTTTCTACCATAACCAAGAAGAGCCTGCTAGTACAGGCCCGACGCTCGCCGCATCATCTACAAAAGCAGAGAGCTAGCAACGTCGGAGTATATATCTATATTTATATAGATACACACATAGACGTATATATGTTTAACGACCCGCTCCCGTCTGCTGCTCCCCATCTATCTCCTCATGTTGGTCTTTTTTTGCTTTTTTTTGCTTTTTTCCAATTCATTTTCCCTTTTTTTGTCCCTTTCTTTTCCTTTTCCTTAATTTGGATCACGTCTTGGTTTATGTGTGTCATTCTTGCTCAGGGGCCACGTCAGCCTTTGTCTTCCTTTGGGCGATAGGTCCACAACATAAAGAGAAAAAAGGGAAAAAAAAAAATTTCTGTCCTCATCATTGTCCACGTCCTCGCCCTCCTCCAGATCCTCCTCCTCCTCCTCCTCCTCCTCCTCCTCCTCCTCCCTCCTCCAGATTTGTCATCCTGTGCATGGGTAATGTTAGGGACATTTATACCTTTGTCGGCCTCTTTTGGCTAAAAATAGATCAAGTGCACTGCATCTGTTCTGATCAGTTTTTTTTTTTTCTTTTTTTTTCTTTTCTTGGTTGGGAATCTGATCCGTGGCCCACCGGACCCCATAAAACGAAACTAAAAGATCTGAGGGACACGTCATCCTCGGAGTACTACGCGTCATCATAGGTTTTGTATAATATACTAGTGCTATCTCGCGGGGGCTTTTCACTGCAGTGAAAAGCCCCGAATGTGCAGAATGGGGCGAGTTCCAATGAATGCACACAAGCTATCTTGTCTTGAATTTAGCGCCGAATGGTAAAGGAAGGTTCATCGAGGATGGTCTGCTACGTGTCGTCTTCCCCGGAACGCAACGCGCACCGCGATCATGAAAGTCCGGTCCAATGCAGCAGTCAGGACGAGGGTGGGTGCGTTGTGTTCCGGGGACGAGGGGTGGTATCGCATTCCCTTCACGAAGCGGTCGCCTGCCCCCGAACACAACGCAACCCAATGATCAATGATGAAATGAAATGTATACAGGCTGTCTTTCCGATCCGGTGCAGTCATGATGAGGGTGTGTCGTGTTCCAGAGGAGTCGAGTCAGCAGCGCATTTGCTTCACGAAGCTGGCTTCTTATCGGATCTCATCTGTTTTTCCTTTTCACAAATCCGAAATCTTATCTTATCTTATCCGCTGGAATTTGGATCAGACATTCTTGATCTGTGTTGCGTCTCTTCCCCGTCCGATCGAATCCTCCTCGCTCCCCCCCATCAGATAACGTGATCCTTTTCCGTCTCCCGCCTTCCTCTTCCTCCTCCTCCTCCTCGCGCCTACTTTCTCCTGAGCTTTTTTTTCTCTTTCCTCCCTTGTTTTGTCCTTTTCCTGCTTAGTCCCACCCTTTGTTGTGTGTCACGTTTCTTTGTCAGTGGATCCTCTCCCACGTTTGCGTCGCACGTTTCCTGCTCCCCACGTTTTCGCTCCCACGATTTCTGTCACACGTTCTCTGTCCCACGCTGCCCCCAACGTTTTCTGTCCCACGTTTCCTGCCCCCAACGTTTTCTGCCGCCAACGTTTTCTGTCCCACATTTCCCGCTTTGTCCCACCCTTTGTGTGGCACGGTTCTTGTCCCACGTTTTCTGTTGACATTTCTTGCTCGTCCCACGTTTTTTGTCGCACGTTTTCTGTCCCACATTTGCTGCCTGCCCACGTGTTTTTTTTTTTTTTTACAAGGAAAGGTAATTGTTATTAGCAGCACAAATGAACAAGACGGAGGCCGGGAATCCTCCACAAACAACCCGGAAGATCGTAACCAAATGAATGGGACCTTTACCCATCATAGGTGTGGGTGTTGGAATAGCTCCAGCTGCAGAAATGGCCAACTCCAGACCGCTGCACTGAGAATTCCAACCCCAAAAAAGAGAAAAACCCAAAAAAAGAAGAAAATAAAAAAAAAGGGAAAAAAAAGGAAAAGAAAAGAAAACAAATAAGTCCAACCCTCAGGGCAACGACACCTAACAAACCAAACAAAAGCTAAGTACTACAGGGACCAGGAACCAACAGGCCCCCCCAACACTAAACACCCTTAAAAAACACCAAATCAGACAAAACAAGACTGCCCACGCCGTGTTTGGAGTGAGTGGGTTGAGTGAGAGGCCCGAGTAAATAAAAGAAAACGCTCTTGCGCCCGTAGGATCACATATACGACGATTTGTTTTTATAATGAATTACTTAATTAATTTCGCCAGATGACGGAATACATACATACGTGTATGATGACCTTTCCCCCAGAAAGGATTGAGTTTGTAAGTGAAGTGAGACCCGCCGTGACATTGTATTCAAGTCTAGTTCCAGATTTCTTGCCTACCCCACGTTCTCCCCCCCCCCCCCCTTCGCTGTCTCCCCTTGTCCTCGTCCGTCCTCCTTTTTCCTCCCCTTCATCGCTCTTCCTACGACCTCCCTCCTCTCTCCTCGTCCTCTCTTCCTCCTCTTCCGTCTTTCGTCTCCCTCCTCTCCTTTACTGACAGTTGTCCATGCCGGATTACCTAAACTTGAACAGTGAGGATTCGAGAAGCTTGTCCGCAGACGTGGGAATGCAGGACATGCGGGACACAAAACAAAATGTGAGGACACTCTGGTCTCTGCTTAGCATCGTTCCTCCTCTTCCTCCTCTAATGCTTCTATTGAACTTCCTTCTTCCTCCTCCTCCTCCTCCTCCTCGTCCTCCTGTGTGTGGGTCTGTTGGACCTACTCCGTCCCGCGCTGTAGTTGCCGACCGTTGATGGGCTCGCTCGTGGGATCATCTCTGGTACGGGTGGGACTGCATCTGGTAAGGGTGGGACTTTATCTGGTAAATCCTAGTAAGTCGGAGTCGGCCTTGGTTTGTATCATGGTCATCTTGAAGGCGGGAAGGAGCACTGTAGGGTGTCTCCGTCGATTTGAAGAATATAGAGAAGGCTAGTTAATTCGAGTGATCCCCCTGTGCAGAGAAGGCAAGTTGATTCGAATGATCCCTGCGTGGGTTAAAAAAAAATGGGGCAAAAAAGCAAATAAGGGGGAGAATGGGGGGAAAGAGGTCCCCGGATGATGAAACGGAAAAATAAAAGAGCTGTAAAGAGTTTCGGAAATTTCGCAATCGCGTTAAATATTCTTGAAAAGAGTTCCCAAGGGCGTCGTTGCCCCCGTCTGTGTGTGTGTGTGTGTGTGTGTGTGTGTGTGTGTGTGTGTGAGAGAGA